GACTTTCGCCACTTCCGTTCGGCCTCCGGCACTCTTGCTTCTGTGCCTGACGAGTCTGCCTTAGTCCATGGGGCCTTTTTCTTACTGGTAACTATTTTAACGTCACAGGAGCAATGGCGTCCAGAACAGTCAGACACTGGTGGTGACAGAGTTATACAATTCATCAACAGTAGAGCATGGAGTTTTCTCAAAATTTAGCATTCCCATGAACAGTTCACTTGTGTTTTCATGTATGTGTCTTTTCTAACAATTGTAAATTCAGCTGGTGGTTTGCTAGCAAAACACATGTCAAAAAATACACAGAAATGATCTGACAAGCAACATCAACTACATTAACATTTGATACATTAACCCCCTTTGTAATTGAGCAGGTCAGAGTGTGCCCCTGCTGTGGGTGGGGCCACTCACGTGCTGAATGAAACAAAGGTCTCAATACAGAAGCCAGCTCCTTTGCATTTCTGTCATCAACATTATCACATGTACATTAAAATCACCTGTAATAACTAAACTATCAAAATCTGTGCACACGAATGAAAGTAGTTCAGTAAAATGGTCAATAAAATCGCAACATGACTGTGGTGGCCTGTACAGGACAATGAAAAGAGTAGAAGATTGCTTTTGTTCCATTTTTAAAAGAAATATACTCAAACGTATTAGAAAAATTTCCCAAGGGGCCTTCTATGGGAGACAAAGTGGCTCTCTAACAAAACTGCAGCTATGCCTCCCCCCCCCTTTTGAAATTTCTAGTACTTTCGGATGCGAATTTAAATTTGGGTGGTGTTGCTTCTATTGAACTGCTATTTCTATTTTGGTCCGCCAGGAACATAAAATCAAGATCATAAGAAGTTAAAATTATTAATTAAAAATGATTTGTTACATGAGTCTGACATTAAGCATAGCAGTTTAACCATAACGTCAGAGTGATTAATGTGGTTGATTGATTTCTACAGCATAAATATCAAGATCAGAGTTGGACGTATAACTGAAGTCCTGTTTTGATTTCGTTTTTTAGGAATTTAAAACTTTTTGAGCTGTGTGCGATGGAACACACACAGTCTCCATTGCCTAAAATGTGAAAACCTTGTTGTTTCTTTAGCTCCCAGAGTCAGAAGGGAGTCAGCACAGTTCAGTGTTTGGTCTGGTAATGCCCTGCAGACGGACAGGGAGGTGTTTGCACGTTGTACTCACGGTGCTGGTGAGCAGGAGGCGGGGGGGTGCGGTGGGGTGCCGAGGGGGCTCAGATGTAACAGTACGCCCCCTCGGGGAACGCTGAACAACATGGACGCATGTAGATCATCAACAGGCTGCTACCGTATCTGTTTGGGTGTAATCCGTCTGGACGATAGGCCGTAACGTTTCAGAAAAGGGCAAAGTTAGTCACAAGACAAAGTTAAAAGGCTGATGTAGCCTGGATCCACTATGCAGCGCACAACACGACTGTAGAGGCAGTCACCTCTGTACCGTGGGATTGGACAGAAATAAAAAACAGATAATCCGGAGGATTGAAGGAGGTGGACAGATCCATTAAATGTTCTTCGTGACTTGACTGAAGTTTCATGTCGTTAATTCCCACATGCACGGTGTACTTGGGAAACGGTTATCAGGCAGTGGACTGAAGCAGAGGAGGGAGCGTATGAGCAGGTCTGGGTACAGTAGGCTCCGGGAATACCAGCGAGTGACGCGTAACGAAGGGCCGTGTCTCACGATGGAATCTCCAATAATCAGAGTGGTCGGGGCGAAGAGTGGACGTGGACGCGGCCTCGGTGAAGGACTCGGTGGACGGAAACCAGCGGGTTCACCCAAGCAGGACCCGAGCCTGAGCGCCGCTGAACCATGGAGAGGGAGGAGCGGGGGTGCTGACTCTCAGCTACAGGCGTCCCACGCTGTGTGCTCGGGGACGCTGGTGCGGTGTGAGGGGCTGGCTCTGGGCGCTGCTGCTGACCCGGTGGAGTGGTGCGGTGGTGAATGATGGCTCGCTACCCCAGTCTGAGGCTGCTGCACTGGGGTCATAGAAGGGTAACAGGCAACATGGCGGGTGGACCGCTCTTCGCTGAGGACTGCTTCCTTTAGGAGCGTTTGCCTCGTGTGGTCTTGGATCCTCGAGCAGTAGAGTACGCTGCAGTGTCCAGGGATTCTGCTGAGGGGGCCGGGATGTCAGTGGAGAGGGCTGCATAGCGGTTTGCCAGACTTAGGACATGGGCCACGGCGCAGGATGGCTCTCGGATACGCGGGGCTCGTTATTCGAACCGGGCGCTTAGGTGTAGAACAGGAGGGTCCGTAGCTGACGGATCTCTCCCACACGTCAGTGTCACATAGGCAGCGCTCAGTGACATAAGCCGTGAATGCTGCCCACCAGCGACTTCAAAAAGTTGGACACTAGAGATTGTTTCTCATTCAACTCTGCGGTGAGACATTTGGTGGCTGTACAACATTATCAACATGTACATTAAAATCACCTGTAATAACAAAACTGTGCAAAATGAGTAGTAAAATGGTCAATAAAATCGCAACATGACTGTGGTGGCCTGTACAGGACAATGAAAAGAGTAGAAGATAATTTTAAAAGAAATATACTCAAACGATTGAAAAATTTCCAAGGGGCATTCTATGGGAGACAAAGTGCTCTCTAAAAACTGCAGCTATGCCTCCCCCCCTTTTGTTTTCTCGTATTTCGGATTCGAATTTAAAATTGGGTGGTGTTGCTTCTATTAGAACTGCATTTCCTGTATTTTGGTCCAGCCATGTTTCAGCCATAAGCATAAAATCAAGATCATAAGAAGTGATAAAATTATTAATTAAAAATGATTTGTTACATAGAGATCTGACATTAAGCATAGCAAGTTTAAAAATAACGTCAGAGTCGATTAATGTGGTTGATTGATTTCTACAGGGAACAGAAATTAGATTTGCAGAGTTGGACCGTCTAACTGCTGTCCTGTTTTGATTTCGTTTTTTAGAATTTAAAAACATTTTTGAGCTGGTGCGAGGAACACACACAGTCTCAATTGGCCTAAAATGTGAAAACCCTTGTTGTTGTTCTTTAGCTCCCAGAGTCAGAAGGGAGTCAGCACAGTTCAGTGTTTGGACTGGTAATGCACTGCCAGACGGACAGGGAGCAGTGTTTGCACCGTTGTACTCACCCGGTGCTGGTGAGCAGGAGGCGGGGGAGTGCGGTGGGGTCCGAGGGGGCTCAGATGTAAACAGTCACGCCCCCCTCGGGGAACGCTGAACAACATGACGCATGTAGTCCATCAACAGGCTGCTACCGTATCTGTTTGGGTGTAATCCGTCTGGACGATAGGCTTCGTAACGTTTCCAGAAAAGGGCAAAGTTATTCACAAAGACAAAGTTAAAAGAGCTGCATGTAGCCTGGATCCACATATGCAGCGCCACAACACGACTGTAGAGGCAGTCACCTCTGTTTACAATCGGGATTGGACCAGAAATAAAAACAGATAATCCGGAGGATTGAAGGAGGTGGAACAGATCCATAAAATGTTTCTTAGTGACTTCTGAAGTTTCATGTCGTTAATTCCCACATGCACGACTACCTTGGAAACGGTATCAGGCAGGGACTGAAGCAGAGGAGGGAGACGTATGAGCAGGTCTGGTACAGTAGCTCCGGGAATACAGCGAGTGACCGCGTTAAAGAAGCGGACGTGTCTCACGATGGAATCTCCAATAATCAGAGTGGTCGGGGCGAAGAGTGGACGTGGACGCGGCCTCGGAGAAGGAGCTTGGTGGACGGAACCAGCGGGTTCACCCGAAGCAGGACCCGAGCCTGAGCGCCGCTGAACACATGGAGAGGAGGAGCGGGGGTACTGACTCTCAGCTACAGGCGACCCACGCTGTGTGCTCGGGGACGCTGGAGCGGTGAGAGGGGCTGGCTCTGGGCGCTGCTGCTGACCCGGTGGAGGTGAGCGGTGGTAATGATGGCTCGCTACCCCAGTCTGAGGCTGCTGCACTGGGGTCAAAGAAGGGGAACAGGCCAACATGGCTGGTGGACCGCTCCTTCGCCTGAGGACTGCTTCCTTTAGGAGCGTTTTCCTCGTAGTGGAATTGGATCCTCGAGCAGTAGAGTACGCTGCAGTGTCCAGGGATTCTGCTGAGGGGGCCGGGATGTCAGTGGAGAGGGCTGCATAGCGGTTTGCCAGACTCAGGACATGGGCCACGGCGCAGGATGGCTCCTCGGAATCCGCGGGCTCGTTATTCGGAACCGGGCGCTTAGGTGTAGAACAGGAGGGTCCGGAGCTGACGGATCTCTCCCACACGACAGTGTCACAATATGCAGCGCTCAGTGACATAAGCCGTGAATGCTGCCCACCAGCGACTTCAAAAAGTTTGGACACTAGAGATTGTTTCTCATTCAACTCTGCGGTGAGACGAAGGACTTCTTTTCGTAGTTCTGCAATGGTGGCACGGTCGCTCTCACGGAGCTCCAAGGTGAGGCGACTAATATTGTGCATGTTTGAGCCAATTTCATTGTCACTTTCCATGTCCTCGTTAGCTTGTGTTAGCCTCTGTGCTACTAGTGGGTTTCAGTCGGGACTAAGCGCTATTTGCTGAAACCACTGAATTAATAAGATAAAACACTCAGATATATTAAAAAACTGAACAATAAAAACGCGCTAAAAAGTTGTTAAAAGTTTACTAAAAAGGTGCACAGAGCAGCCCCTGCAGAAACAGCCCGTCGCCCCAGCTGTGAGGGTGAGCGTGCAGACCTGTGTACCTGTCTTGGGACATTAGCAGTTTAGCAGTAATGCCAAGTCCGGCGCATTTACACTGACAAGGCATCAATGTTGATACATGTGCAATGTCCCGCCTCAATCAATAAATAAATGAATGAAATAAATGAAGACTGTTCCATTCAATATTTTTTTCTTTTTAGAATGAGTCAGTATAAGTGGCTTCAGCAACAGTAAAAATAGGTTTTTTCTATCCATATTGCAGAGCCTTCATTTAAGTAGTGGCATTACATATTGTACATTTACAGAACTCACTTTTTAAGCTTCATGTAATCGTCATTGACGACTGGCTTGCACTCGGCGCGGTGCACCACCATTCCTTCCAGGCTGATCTCATCTGGAACACAAACACACACACAAACTGACTCAGACTTCATCACATCTCAAAGTCAGACAATACAACAATTTCAGAGCGACGCATGCTGTGGAACATACAACACAAAAGAGTGACAATCCAAGGACAAAAACATTGTTAGGTGTGATTGTGGTTTCAGAACTCTGTATGGGTTTCAGAAGCATGAAAACCCAGCACTGTTGCCACATTATAAACAACTGTGAACTGTACTAGACAGGTATAGCAAATTTGATCTAACAGACTTTATACACTGAGAAAGACGCTTTACCACTGTGCACATGCCATAACTACTGCAGACTGATGCGTGAGTGCTGGCGTTCAGTGCGCACATACCGGCTCCGCTCATGACAGTATGTGGCCAGATACATTAAAGCTTTTTTGTGGGGATTAAAAAAAAAAAAAACAGTCTCATAAAAAATTAAAAAAACATTAATCAGACCACATTGTGCTGCTTCATCTTTTCTGTCTGAAAAAGCTACATTTGTGAAAGCTAAAAAAAAACATGCAACTGAAAACTACAGATAGAACCAAATAGTTAAGTGCAAGGAACAAGGCAAATTTATTACACAGTTAGTGATTTGTTATTTACAACGCAATCTTGAAAACCGCAATAATATTGTCACAGCCGTCAGTAAAAAAACTAAAATAATATGGCAACCCTAGCCTGTTATAAGGAATTAGACATTGTTGGTGTGTCTGTGGGTAAGACATTTCAACCTCCTCATCTGTGATTGTGAATGTGTTAGTTTGGGTGACTGATGTTATGGTTGTAGTGGGTGTCTGCATAACACACATCAATATTCACTGCACGGTGTTCCTCCTGTCCATCATCTCGTGGTTAAATACAGATGCCTTTGGGAAAACGTCAAAACAGTGCCACCGTTGACAGATGGTCTCAAAAAGTTTCACTGTGCTGTACACCATGTAACAAGCCCATATAGAAATCATTAATCTGTTTAAATGACTTGAGAAAAATAAATGCGTATTTATTAAAGCCCTCATCTTTTACCACTCGTTGGTTTTATTTGTAGTGGCTCATGAGTGTTTGAATCATTATTGTCTTCCAATCCAAACATTAGTCCCTGAATCCATGTTTTCAATTACCCCTGACACAACCACTGCACACCGCCAAATATCGTTTCAACCGACCGGAACTTTGAGGTAATGAAATAAGAGGCAAGTTTTAACAGGTTAGCAGACTGTTTGTTTGATTAAGTCATAAATGATTCAGAGGTTCCATAGATAACATGATAGCACATTACGCACTTTACTCAGGACGCCCAAAAGATCACCTCAGTGTAAACCAGAGAATATAAAGAAGCAGAAAAAAACGTAATAAAAATATAAATAGGGTTTTCATTGACATTTTATTGAGAAATTAAATTATGTCACCAGGATTTTTTTTTTTTCTTTCCTTGTAAATTTTACACATTTATTCATTTGAAATGTTGAATTTGTTGAATCCGACACTGTCTGGGTCCAGTTGGTGAGCGTTGGTGTGGTATTGGCCGATCCTTTGTGCATTGTTCAGTCGCTGGCACCAGTTTCACACTAGACACACAAAACGCCCAAAAGCCTCTCTTCTTTCCACCCATCTCTTTCCAACACACAGACTTTAAAAGATCAAACAGAGGAAGTGTGCCTGCCGCCTTTAGGTCAGTGAGCAGGTGGTTTCAAAACTGCTCAGCAAAGAAGCATTATCAGTAGCATATTATTATCAAGCCAGGTTTTTTTAATTGATGGTCTGTTTTATTATTATTATTATTATATATTTATATAAGAATCCACGCATTTCTGTGCATTTCCCCCACCCATTGTCTGCTTTTGTTGGGTCAGTAAGCAGACAGGGTTTTTAAACTGTTCTGCCAAAGTAGGACACAAGACAAACAATCTTATTCCAGATTTCAATTATGAGGCAGGCCTCTGAGGGTATGATTCACTTTCTTGTGTAACTTTACATTTACCCCTCACAGAGACTGGCTTTTGTCTGCTGTTGGACTGCGGGGAAGCAATGTGCCAAGAATAAAGGGAAGAAAACACCATTAAGGTAACACTCTTCTATAGCCACATTGTTTGAAGCAGTTCACCCTACACTTTTGTTCTTCAGTTTTACTACAGTAATACTGATTTAACTTCTTTGAGAACTAGGATCCACAATTGTGATTATAGATGAAAATGTAAGCTGCAAATGCAAGAAATATCACCCTTGGTTTGGGGCCAATGTATTACAATGGCCCACTTCTTGAAGCTAGGTGAGAAGTTTGCATTGCAAGAAGCTTTGGGAATAATAAATAAGTGGCAGAGTGGACAGACCACTCCTGTTCAAACGGAGACATTTGTTTTTGATTTGTGTTTTCTAGGTTTTTATGATTGAGAATTTTTAAAGTGATAGTCTGGAACACTAAATGAATTACACATTTTAAGAATTGTATTAAATTGACCTCCTGACCTTATATGTTGATATGAAATAAGTCATTTTATGAGTTATAATATTACGGGTAAGTCCCGCCTTCCCTTCTCTGTACTGAATGTGGTAATGTATCATCTGAATGTGGTTGTGACTTGTGTATTGTGTAGGTGTGATGCTGTGAATGAAGTGTGGTTTTAACAAACAGGTATGAGGCTAAATGTGTGTGTCTGTATTAGAGAGAATGTGTTGTATTGCAATGTTATTTTTTTAGGATTGTACATTACTGTATCCATGTATTTTATTGATGTAACCAGGGACTGCAGATGGAAACTAGCTGTTTAGCTATAATCTGGTGCAGAACATATCTGTCTTTGAGCTTAATGTCTCTGTACACTGTCCCTTCAAATAAAGACTAAACTAAACTAAACCTATAGCTCAAAATCCACTATGCCGTCCACTCTAACCAATCAAGTGATGCCAAGGGCTGTCAATCATCAATGGGCATTATCTTTTTTGAATTATATATAAAAAAGTTAGTTCCCAAAGGTTTTGCCGTGATGTGGCCAGACAGGTAACAGTTAGGCTAGTTAACTAGCTTGAACTCTCTGGAACTACAAGAAATGTGAACAAAGAATTCTGAACCTCAGCGGCGAGTGACCCAAATATAAACTTAACCTAAATCCATAATCAGATCTTCTGCAAATGTTCTAAAGTGTTCTACTAATGTTAATGGTTACTTCCGGGCTTACTGCATCGCTTTTTGGCGCTTCAAATCAGTATTTTTGTCATGAAAACGTAAGCGGAAAATTCTGAAAATCTCTGTGCAGTTTGCAGGTGTGCTAAGAATGTATATGTATAATGTATTCTCCGGACTTTCCGTGCATGGAAAAGTAGGCGCGGCTTCAAGATCAATCAGAAGGGAAGGGGGAGGGAGCTTGGGTCGTTTAAAAAAAAAAAAAAAATCTTGTACCTCTCTCCCTCTTTTCTAACAAACTCCAGACTATCACTTTAAGGGACAGTTCTGCACAACTTCTCTATTGTCCTTTTTAACTTTGCTCTTTGAATCATCCTATTGTTAGAAATACAAACATTAAATGAAGTCAGATGTATAATTTATTCAGGGTAACCCGAACTGAAAGAATCCAGGTGCACTAGCCACAGTGTCACTACGGTAACAGCCACTTGGCTCCAGTGCCTCCTCAGCTGCCCGCTTTTAGTCCTGGAGGGGCTCTGCGCTCGTCACACCTCTCTGTAATGTTCATCTTTGCCTTTCCCACAAATGGAGGCTATTATGTGCAATTATTGGATGGCGAGAGTGCGCCAGGGTTCTCACTGGCACAGTTTCTGCAACACCCCCACACTGTGAACATGTGTGAGGAGTTACAGATGGAGAATTGCTCCTTGTAGACGACTGACAGGACAGGGCAGTGGCAGTAAGTACTTCTGTTCGTAATAACATTAAAACATTTTTTCAAGTCAGACTTATTAGCATTGAATAAGAAAAAATAATTTAGGGTAATTTGATATTTGAAGATATAATATTGAATAATCAATTTCAAGATATTTTTTTTTTTTAATAATTCCTGACTATAAATAAGACATTGAATCAATGTAATTGATTAAAAAAAAAAGAATAATGAATAGTGCAGTTATTTTCATACTATGACCATTGCAACTCACCACACTGTTGCCATATACATATGCAAACTTAGATCCTACTAAATCAAAGTTTGGGCTGAGCAGATGATTAAGCCTTTACTGGACATTTTAGAAGCAATAGCAACGCTTGGTTTGCATCGGTTTTATATAGCGCTTTTTTTGGACACTCAAAGATGCTTTACATGTCATTATTCATTCACTCCAAACACGGTGGTGATAAACTACTACTGTAGCCACAGCTGCCCTGGGGCACACTGACAGAAGCGAGGCAACCAGTATGTGCCATCGGCCCCTACGACCACCACCAACCATTCACACACACACACCAGACTCATTCTAGGCAATGGGGGTGAAGTGTCTTGCCTAAGGACACAACACCAATTTGGCACTTTACAGCCGCAGCCACCCCACTGTGGCTGGTGTCTTACCAAGGACACGACGACAGCAAACATCAGTTGGAGTCAATTGTGTGTTTTGTGCGTTTTTGTTTTGTTTTATGCATGCAATTTAATTCACCTTTCCTTTGACACTTCCCCAATTACCCACACGTTTCTAATCAAGAGTATAAATTGGGGGCAGGCACTGGAACAAGAAAAGGAAAAGGACGAAGGCCAGGGAGAGCTAGAGGAGGGCCAGAGGGGAAGGGTGGTCCGGAGGGGCTTGGAGCCGTGGCCCGGCCGCCAGGTTGGCGGAGATGCACCATCTGAAGCGGCGGACATGTGGACACGACAACTGAAAGTGAGACCGGAACCCTGGAGGAGGTGCCCGAAGCTGACGGTGGCAGCAGCGCGAGCTGCGCGGATTCCACAGCGGTTAGCACAGAATCCACACGTTAGAAGGACAGTGTTTGCGGTGGGCGCTGGCCGTGTGACCTGTGGCTATGACAGGGAGAAGGTAACGACGCTGGCCCCCGCTGCCTCAGCCAGAACGGTGGACCCCCAGCTTTTAGCACTTTTAGTCTCATTTCAATCCTTCTTTTAGCCCCCGTTTTACCTATTTTTTTTTTAGCAATCGACTCCCATATTTACATGTTTTTACTAAAAAAAACCTGATTTATTCTTCTATTCTTTGCCTTTTATTGATCACACCCCCCTCAACAGACACTTTTAAACCTGTAACATTTGCACAAAAAAGCATGTCTTCTGTTCATAAAGAGTTGTTTTGTTTGGCTGTTTTCAGAATACTAACAAATAAAAAAGGATGAGTGGGTCAGCTAAACCCAAAGTCATCTCCTTCAGATACAAAACAAACGTGCATCAATGATAATGGGTAGAATAATGTAAGATACTTTATATATATTGTCTATTGTGCAGTATTCCAATGTAGTTTTCGGACTGACTGAACTGAATCTGGAGGTAGTATGCTTTTAATTCGGAATAAAAGACTATCACGGTGGGCCTCATTTATCACTTTTTTTCCTCATGTCCTTTTAGTAATTTTTCATCCATTTTAACACAACGACGAAATCTCGGCGTACCAAAACACAGATTTAACGTACAGGAAATGCAACTGTCAGGAGCTAACATTAAACAAATATTATCCAACGGTCATGGAGGTCAGTGATCCGCCTCCTCACACTGAAAGCCCTGGCCTTTCTAATGTAAACAGCCCACCGCCCACCTGCTCTTCCTCCAGGCAACCTCAAGAGTCACAAATCACCAGTAAGGTGTAACGTGTCAAACGTACCATGGTTATGCTTATGGTACATGATTTGGGGCTTTAGAAGGTCACCATCACAGCTTTGATAGTTTGTGTTGTGTTCTAGAGAAATATAATCCTTGGTCACAATGATTTAAAAAAATACCCTGAGTACATTTTTTCAGGCTGAATTTGATTACTCTTCCGTGCTTGACCAGCTCTGGGTTATTTAGACCCTTTAAGAACCTGCATCTACTTTTCATCATCTGTGGCGGGTCATTTTGACCTGTGGGTAGCACAAGGGTTAGAGGCTGTGAGACAAACAAATATTTTTCTTGGCAATATTTTCTGTATCAAGATAAGGTTCAAAAATGTTGTGACATCACATCTGGCACTGTGCAAGATATGGACACCGCTGTTTCCTAAGCAACCATTGCAGTTTTCTTTCAAGGTTTGAAAACATATTTCACAAACAAAGCCCTCTGTCCTGTTTTTCCAATGCAGGAAACACACATGATCCTGGATCCTATAAATAGTAGACTAGTTAGGAAATATTTTAAGACTAGTTAAATGATTAGTTAAACAAAGCTAGTCAAACAGATGTTTACTACATTCACATTCTGATTGGATACTCTTCAATCAGAATGCAATAAGTCCATACTTATTGATGTCCATTTTATTTTAAAATAAATTCACGTTGTCAACAATCATTTATGCTTGTTGACTTTGTATTTGGGGACACATAAAATAGACGCAATTCAAGATAAAATACAATGCTCCTCTAAAAAGCTTTTTATAAAAAGTTGTATGTGTGTTAAACAGTCATCTATCCTTCACATTGGTGATGTTGCAGTTTGTCATTTGGGTTGCAAAAATAAAAAAATGCATTGACAACTTACCAATCTTACTTATAATTTACAAAAATAGTAAAAGGCAAAAATTTCAATGCATACAGGAGTTGACTGGGCATAGGTGGATTCTGCACTATTAGGGACAATGGAGACCACTGACTGAGTGGTCACTGAGTGGATTTTACCGCACACTGCTGCAACTTCATTTAACACGTCAAAACTCAAGGTATAAGATGTGATAAATGTTTGTGTGGTACATGAAACAGGGCTAAACTTTATTTTTGTTTTATTAAAACCTGAATTGCAAAGGTGAAGATACAGACTCATACCAAGACCTTAATGTCCTTCATAGTTGGACACAAAATATGGTCCGGATGTACACTGCAACAAGGAACAAATCACAGCTGAGTCACTGATTGAATCTCCAAATATAATTTCCCATTAGAGCTCCTCTGTAATACGCCCATAGGCTGCTTCATTAAGGAAATGTGATGATTTCATTCATTAACTTTGAAGTAATCTTCCCATGTCCATAACTGTTGCCGGCTCACTCAGTCTTTAGTATGGATCAGCCGTGTACGTTGAAGTAGCCTTTAACGTCCTTGAGCAACTGCCAGAAATAACAGGGCGGGTTTTACTTTCAAATACGGTTTTCCTTTAAACCATCCTTTTTGAACGTTTGGCTTTTTCTACTTTTCAGGCAAGAGTTGGAAGGATAGATAAATGCCACCCTCATGTTGGTGTGGTAAACACTGAGCTGCAGCCAGAAATGGACCTGGATTTTTTTCTCAGCTTTATGGTGCCAGACACAAGAAACTATTTAAGATGCAGCAGCGTAGGTGCCAAGGTAAGACAAAACTGTAGAAATGGTTATGTAAACAGGGTACTGGCGAGAGTTTCGTTTGACTTTTTAACAGTTTGCACCAAAAAATACAATATTTTTCATGAAACTTACAAACAAAAAAGTAACACCTACTATGGAAATAATTGGTTTTGTTAGACCTAGAGCACCAAAAATTCTTGAACATGACTATATGGCATAATCTCAACTGATGTTTGGCATTTTCAATATTAACCAAAATCCAACTGCAGAAGAGCCTGCTTTTATGAAATTAACTTTGAGGCGATTTAAACAAAATGGACTTTTGTCAAATTCAAATGGAACAGAAGCTCACTCCACTTAAATTTATCAAATCTGGCCTCTGCAGAATCTTCCCTGTATGTTTTGCTTTTGGAGTCATGTTTCAGCTATTGAAACTAATCATACAATGGGCCAAATTGGATTGTATAAGACATTAATGGAATATAAACCACTAACACTACGAGATCTTGTGAATCTTGTCTCCCTTTAATAAGAGAAAACAAACAGTGAGCGCATCTTTTGATGTGAAAGTTGTCTTTATGGTTGTCAATAATTATAACAAAATCTGATATTAAATCAAATCTAGACACTCAATTTAGCAAGTATCGATACAAAAAACCTAATTAAAACATTGGACAAAAAAGGGCATTTTATGGATACAGTTTAAAGTTTAATATTAATTACAACTGGTGTTAGCACCTAGGCACAAATATTATCTTTGTACTTATGCTTCGTTGGTGTTAAAGCTGTCCAATTAAGAGTATCTTAAACTATCACTAATCACTGTGGTAGCTAACATATGAAGTCTTTACTGAAGGAGACACATGTCAGTAGAATACTATCCAGCATCATCGGACTCATACACATCAAGTATGAAGAGAGAACAGCCTTCACAGTAGTCACTCACTGTTTCACCACAAGCTCTTGGAGGAGACACATTAATAATTTACAATGGAAAGGGAGTCCTTACTCACAGTGCTTGGAAATGGGATTTTGGGCATCCTGTTTTGTTTAATAAAGAGACAACAGCAGCTGGAACAAACAGATTTGCACTGACTTTGAAGGCAGCGGCTGGGCTCCATTAGCCAGTTTTAATGAACGGCAGGCAGAAAACAGGTCAACCTCCCACAATCCTCTCCACTGCATCTTGGCCTCGTTTGCAATTCCAATGGAGTGTTGTTGATGATGCCACTAATCACTTATGATAATAAAAGCTGCAGATCCAGGCAACGCTGTCAATCAGGAAGCACATAGCAATCTGAAGGAAGGAACACGTCTCAACAATAATACAACATTTAATAGAAAAATGGCAGTATGCCCAGGAGTATTAATGGGTAGCTTTATACCATAGTATTGAAAAAAAGAATAGGTGATACGAGCTGTACATTTGTACAGCAGACAGATTCTGACAAAAGCAAGGTTTTGCTGTTAAATTAAGCACATAATTGGCATCACAGCACAAGTGTTTAAAATGAAATAGAAAGAAAATCACAAATCTGGGAAAAATGATCACTGTGTTTAGATGCATTGCACATCGGTAGCAGAGATTTACCACCAACGCCACAGCAATACATGATGGTGTGTTTACTTCCTGTAAATAGTGGGACTGACGTAGGCTGAAAATCCATGTATTTCTCATAAACGGGCACATAAATAGTATTCTAATGGGTTTAATTGAATTAAAACCATAATGACAATGTAGGAATTCGGGCGTTCTGCTCTCCCAAAATTCCATCCGATGGGCGGGGGAGCGACTGAATTTTGCGTTGCATTATGGGTAACACTTGCCTTCGCAACTTCCGGTTCTCTCTGCCCGGCGCATTTTCTCTAAATGGTTGAGTGTTTTCGTCATTTTACATTATGCAAATACATTCCCGTCTCTAACTAGTGGCATATCGCGCAAATCATCCGTCCAATTCACATTCTTCCCTCTTAGCTGAACTTCATTCTCATTGTTACCATCTGTCACTCGCACACACAGCCGTTTTCGTTCACTCTGCTCGCTGTCATCTTCTTCTAAATCTTCATAAACACCATCCGCTCGTTGAACTAGCAACAACAATTCCTCCTTTCGTTTTCCCACACTGCAAATACCCTTTCGCTTCAACCTGTCACGCAATTCAGGAACTGTCAATCGTTCGTTGTTTTCGGGAGCCATATTCGCCATTGTATGAAATCAACCGGAAGTGAACTGGGCAACAAACGGTGTCATTTTTTGATCACAGCGCCGCTCAGTGGATGAAATTTTGGGAGAGCAGAACGCCCGAATTATAATTGGACTAAATGATTATGAGCCAGCTACCCACTGCCTATTCAACATCTCCTGAGTGTCCCCAATTTCTTGAAATAAGGAGAGAGCAGATTACAACTGGAGCAGAAGTACACATCAATTAACTCATCATAGTATTTCAGCTTAGCTAGAATTTTATTCAGCCTTAATTATTCAGAAAATAATTAATTATTAATTCAAACAAAGCTTAAATAATTTTGTTGTATCTCATGAATCAAAACAGGCAAGCAAAATGGCAACAGCAAAACCTTTATTCCAACATGTTACGCCAATTAAATGAGAAGGAGGACAGACGCCTATAAATAATCCCTGTAGTGGATTAAAACACTTATAGATCAGAGCAATATACAATTATTGCCCGAATATAAGAGGCATGTGGTGGTTTGGGAAATATTGTGTTTCAGACATAGGGCAGCCCTTCAACAGGTTTGCATTTTTATTAGTTAGCTGAGGACGGATTGGAGTGAGAACATTACATGGTGGCCAGATCGCAAAAGAAAAGCGGTTTATGTATCTACCACTGCTTTCATTCACAGCCTGGAGCCTACTTCTCTCACTCATAATCAGAACTGAGACATAAAAGAACGTCAGCAACCCTCGTACGAGTTGTTTGAAATAGAGGATGGTTTCACATTTGAGGATCTGAGTGGTAAACAGATGGATTAAGCTATGTAAAGCAATGCATATTCTTACTAGAACGTGAATCAATTGAGGCAAAACTAATTATTAGAAAGGATAAAAGGCAAAATTCATCAGCTCCTTATCTGATGGGAATATTCAAATGTTTCAATATGTAAGGAAATAAAACATAAAAGATTGAAAATCTAATCTTGCCAAAAATATAAGAATGTGACATGAAAAATTATACTCAACAAGGAACCACACTGACAAAAATATTGAATAACAACCAGTCACACTTAGACAGAAGAAACAGTCAAAATGCCAAAACTAAAATATATTCTTAAAGTTCATGGCAGAAATTATGTATTACTGTATGTATGAAAAGAGAAAATGAAAAGAAGCTTCACGAAAAAAAGTGTTTTTTTAGCTCTTGCTTTCTCCTCCCAGAATGTGACGCTGTCTGCCCACTCACTCCATAGCGAGAGAAATAAAGGAGAGGGGAGAGAGAAAGGAGGAACGGTGAGCAGCAGCCTGTTTCACTCTCCCAGTTCTCAGTAGCTCCAGTGGCAGCCCGCTCCTTTCCTCCTCCTCTTTCTCACATCCACAGTGCGAGTGTGCGTCTGCTGACGGCTCACTGAGGGAGCAGCACGCTTCTAAACAAAGCTTTGGTGTCGATTCGATCTTGTGGTTGGCAGCCCATTTCGAGGCTGGACTGAGGCTGGGCACGCGGACCAGAGAATGGAATGGAACCTTCGAAGAATGGAGAGTGAACTAAGGCACATCAACCCAGACTTGCTCCAGCCCAGCAAGAGCTTCAAAAAGCCTTCAGCTGGCACCATCACTCTCAATGTAGGTGGCTTTTTGTACACAGCGCATCGAACCACCCTCTCCAAGCACCTGGGCTCCTTTCTAGAAGAATTGGCCAATGGTAAGAAGCCAGTGCAGCACACTGACTCCATGGGAAACCCCTTCATAGACAGGGATGGTCCCGTCTTTCGCCATGTTCTCAACTATCTCCGGACCGGTGAGCTACAGCTGCCAGACGACTTCAGGGAGGCGGGGCTTCTGAGAAAAGAGGCAGACTTTTACCGGCTGAGTGAACTTGTCAACTTGGTGTGCGAATGGGAGAATCAGAGAGCTGCACACAAAGAGCCAGCCTTCTTGGAGGTGACAGACAGCCATGACCGTTCCCAAGGTCTCAAAGTGTACTGCAGTGACCATACCTTCATTGATAAAGTTAAAACACGCCTAGTGCAGATCTCCAAAAGTCGTCTGGATGAGTTTCCTGAAGAGTTTGTGGTGTCGTCCAACGTAATCCAGTTTAAACACTTCATCAAGTCGGAACCGGGGTCCAGGCTAGTGCTAAAAGAGGATAGCACCTTCTTGTGTACACTTGACTGTCTAAAACTTGAGGCAGTGATGCTTGCACTACGATCTGGCTATAAGCTCATCACTAGCCTAGACAGCAGTAAAGGATCTGTGGTGGCGGCAGAGGCCTTGCACTTTGTCAAATAAAGTGAAACATAGAAATTGAGAGATGGAAAAATATATTGATGTTGGCATTGGCTTGAAGTAATTGTAAGAAATGTGCCAAGTAGTGAAAGCAGGGGAACATGTGGAGCCTGTAAAACGTTCGCTTAAAGTGTTTATAAAATAGTTGGCTTTCAAATGCAGGTTTTGTGACTGAGTGAAGCCACAGGGCAGTTATTTGGCAGAAATCTTTATCATGTCGTAAATATACTGTTATAAATGAATTGTGTTTGTCTTAAATGCATCTGGACCACGCTGAAAGTGCTCGATCAATAATTTCCATGTCAATGGTGTCATTCATAAAAAGTGGATCCTTGTATTCGCACATGCCGCTTCTGCTGCAAAAGCCTCTAAACTGTGGTGCCAGTCAGCTCCTACTCCGTCTCTGCCTGTGGCTCTGCGTCATGATGCTATGGTGTGATCAATGGGTTCAATAGCTTGTGGTATATTAGACTTTTTGGAAATCTAAATACAAATATAAAGTATTGAGCTATTTGACTGTTTTCCAGTGTGAACTGAGCTGAAGACTAATGAATTAAAAATATTGTGGAACAAAGTTTCAGTGATGAGTGAGACATACTTGTAAGGGCTTTGGATCTAGCATGATGCATGTGCACTACACTGTGTTAGTGCTGTGAGATTGTATGCCTTTCATTTCACTTATAAAATCTTTTACAAATAAAAGTGACACTGATGATACTGGTGAAAAAGAAACATTTGTGTCTAACCGTTAACACAACACAGAAAATTTGATTTGCATGTAAAAAAAATGTGCAGCATGGATTCTCACAACTAATGTGTGTAGTGACAAAGAGTGTGATGTTCCTCATGGCAAAATGTTCACAGTTGCCAATTTGAGATTTTTGAAGAAAAAAAATACAAGCCATTATGTTAGAAATGGTTAAAAATATGGATAAGTAATACAACTATTACAAAATAAATGAATGTCAGATTGTAGCTTGTAAAATAGAACAGCAAACAGTCATGCATTGTGCTTTTAGAGCGTGCGTGGTAATGCATTTAACCTGTGTACAGAAAAAAAAAGTTACTCCACTGATACACATTTGCAGTGAATCATTTCCATCTCGCACTAATGTTTCATCAGATGATGTCAGCAGAGGGTGATTAGAGACTGTAGTCATTAACACAATAAGCTATCTAATATTCAGCAACGGTATTGACTGTTCTCCAAGGCTTCATTTCCGCCTCTGCTTTTCAAATGGAGAGACTTAAGGTAAAGTGTCCATTAGGGCTGAGTAATGAGACAAATTAAAATGTTGAATGAGATTAGATTTCAATTACCTTATTAAAAACATTCATAAAAAAGACAATGAGTTCTTTACCCTGTAAAGGTTACAAATTCTGTAGACCCAAACAACGACCCAAACAACATTAGTCCATTAAGATTGACTGACTCAATAATAAGATTTAAACGTCTATTAATAGCTCAGCTTTCACTTCTATATTGAACTTGGATCGACACAAGTGAAACGATTAAATCAAAAAGGACACAGCCATGTACCGTAGGAAATGCTTGGACAGCCTTTTCGATATGACACCTAGTCACATCTTTTGGGACCCATATCAGTCCAGACCATGCAGTATTTTAAAGTAGGACAGTCACTCTGTTCCCTTAAGGAAAACCTAATTTTGCTTGGCTGCTGAGCACAGACGGTCTCAGGCTCATAGGGATTAATATAGAACTTAATGTAGTAATAAATTCATACAATGTGCCAACATAATAGATTAACACATTTTCAGTTTAGTTTTGTATACCTCTTCAGTCAATGGAAAAGCCATTAGAGAAAGTAATATACATTTTAGATTATTGGGCAACATAGGAGGAATAAAATAGCGAAAGCCAGAGCATGTCCAGGGAATATCTATTGTAATTTTCACTTTTTTTGTATAAATTGTAAAGGGTATAAGGACTGCAATGTTTATTCAAAACCTCAGCAATGCATCATAACCTGTTAATGGAGTGTGAACTTGAATACACGTATATCATTATCAACATTTTTTTTTATGTGACTGAGCTTCTGGAGAAATCAACAATAGCGAAAGAGAAACATTTGCAAGACAGCCCCCCGAGAGGACTATCCAACCATCTGCTCCAGCGGCCACTGTCGTCAAACCAGAGCCTCGTGACTCACACACCCACACGAAACGTTAAGAGAACCTCACAGCAGCATGGAAAAACAATGAGCGAGCATGTAAATATGTACTAACCGGAACATATAGGCTTAAGTTTTGCTTACGTCAAACTGAGCTGTAATCGAATGTAGATTAACACTTGTAGTTTAGTATACAGTGAGTTACAAAAACTACTAAAGCAGCAGATGTGGACTGACAGCAAAACTATAAATCGCATAAGAATTTCTGATATTTTTCCTGTCAAAGTGCTCAGTGAAAATTTGTCTGAAAATATGGTGAATGAAAAACACATTCTTGATCACTTTCTTTGCTTTTTAATATATTACATAAGGATCAGACGGGAAGGCATTGACCGATGATTTAAAAAAAACATAATACCCAGACAAGAAGCCCAAAAAAAAAGCTGATTTGAACATCCCTAGTCTATAAGAGAGATAAAGAAAATATAATGACTGCTGAATGCTCACATCTTGTTCATTGCTGTAATTGGAGGAGGGCAGTAGTGCAAGTTTTGCACAATCAACTCGAACGGTTTCACTTGAGGTCCCATCTTTTCTCTAAGGATTCATGCCGCAGTCTGCTCGGAGCCAAATATTGTTTAAATAATCATTTAAAATGTTTGGTTATGGTCAGTGAACCATCCCCAGTCAAATATGGAGATGGCAGGAGCAGGGACAGGTAAGATTGCCAACCTCAAATGTGCATAATGTGCAAACCCCCCCAAAAAAACAGAACAATCTAGGAAGAAAACTGATTCAATTAAAGAATAATTTGCTTTGATAATTTTTAGTTAAGTAAACAATGAATGGGTGATAAAATGTGTTTTTCTTCAAACAATAACGAAGCAGTCTTACAGCAGTCTCTCACTTTAGACCAGGGCTCTTCAACAATTGAGTCTGACGCACCAAATAAGAAGAGCGAACAAGGAGTAATTGCTGCAGTAAATGAATCACACAGCTGTCCTTTTGAGACCTTCACTAACAAATAAATCAATGCAGGAAACTGAAGGACGAAGGGGAAACAGAGCTACAAACTAAAATCCCATTATGTTTTTGTATTATTTAACTAGTACTGATTATAACGTATCAGTACTAGTTAAATAATACAAAAAACATAATGGGATACTAGTACTGATTATAACGTAGGGCGACAGTAGCTCAGTTGGTAGAGCATTGGCCTTAAGGCCAGAAGGTCGTGGGTTCAATTCCCACCTCTGCACCTTCTCCACCGACTCCCACTGATGACTGCTGTCGTTGTGTCCTTGGGCAAGACACTTAACCCCACTTTGCCCAAAGCCCCCACTGAAAGATCAAGGCTATGCTCACACTCAGAGAGCAGCCGTCCTCCTGTGGACTCACCACCTGCAGAGGGTCAGTGAGGGGCTGGTGCTATGAGACTTGGGTGGCATCTCTGACTGCCACCCCCCTGACCCAGAAATGGATTAAAGGGTAGAAAATGGATGGATGGATGGATACTGATTATAACGTTAACAGATTTAGTACTAGCTGGGCAGGTACTGGGCAAAAACAATTCTGGTTGTGGTCATCACCAGCCTTAGGAAGTTTTGGCCTTCTTCAGCATTTACAGGTTTGCTTCTTCAACAGATGTCAAGGTCTATAACCTGTTGATTTGTTATAATAATAGGAAAATAAATTTGATATAAATGAGAACTGGGTAAAAAGCTTTAAAGTTTTAATAAAAGATTTTTAAGTTTTGAAGAATAAAAATACAATGGAAAAGAAGATCAAGACATTCAACAAGAAGGGAAGAAGTGAAAAAGACCAATGATGTTTACACAATAGTGCCATTTGTCAGTAAAACACGAGGAAAGATGAAATTTAAGTCATGTTGGAGCTGTAATCAGTCCAGGCTGCTCATCCTGGCTTGAATCACATCATCCAGATTTTTAATTGCACATGACTTTCATACATTTTTAATGATGACTGCCATGATGGCTATTAGCAGGTCCAAGTCCTCATCAAAACACTGCCTCCAATGACAGCAGGGGGCACAGTGGTATTATTAAATACAAATGAAAATCCAATTCAAATTTTTGTCTTTCTCTCATCTCCACAATTTGTATCTATAGCTTAATGTAAAAAGGGTTGTCCAAAATCGCCAGCCAATCCCTTTAAGCCTTTCAGTCGTATTTTATTCAACGCGAACACATTTACTACATAATTAGATTGGGTGCTTTGTAGAGGCCAGAAATGTCAGCCTGAAGTAATGCTATCCCAATTTAGTTACCGGTGAGCTCAATGACCAGCTGTTCGTTTGAAAAAGGGCACAGAAATCTTTTTTGCATGGGTATTAATTCCATGTGCACTTGTCCGTACAAGTTTGTCACGACAGATTTGGGACACTTGATTACTTCTTTTTAAAAAATCCATTTTAATTTAGTTTGAAAACAAGATGTATAAACCTTGATTTGTGATGGATTTAAATGCAATCAGGCTGAGATCTGTCACAGCTGTTGGTGTCTTAAGGCACATCAGACAACTATCAATCACAAGAAATAGTGTGTTTAGACTGTTTTAAGAAACAATTACAATGCAGGACTATTAACATTAGTGATGTAATCTCTTGAAAAATCAGACATTAACCAGCTGATGTGGCCAAGAAAATCAATGTCGGGCCAGGAAGATGAACAGATTAGCCATAATAGGAGAAAGGGCGTTTGGTATTGCTCAAACTCACAATCAAGAAACAAAAATAAAAACAAGTATTGCAAACAATTTGAATGAGTCGTTCAAAACAAATTCTTCAGTTAAACAATTTTATCTTCTTGTTACTGGTGATTCATATCTGCTTTTTCAACTTTAAACTGTTTC